TCACTACAAAGTGCAAACATACCCGCGCTACTCACTTGCTCGAGTTTATCTTCACATTACATTTTGTCTACTTCTTTATTGCCATCTTAATTTCTTTATTTATTTTTTTTAATCAGCTAGAGGAATACTAATCCATCCATCCACCGTCAATGTTAACATCAAAGATCAAACAAACAGAACAACTGATGGACTATTGCTACTTTATGACGGGCTTGAAGGTATGAAAGTGGAACCACTTTCAGAGAATCGTAATTCCAATATTAATTTTAGTCTCTCAACTCTCAATATAATCCTTCCAATAAATCGATGGATAGCTAGCTGCCTTGGTGCCTAGCAATAAAACGAATACTAGTCTTTAATTAAGCACTACCCTCATGTCGAAATGAAGCAACGGTTTATTCGCTACTCCTATCACGAAACCATCTCAATTCTCAAATATTAACGTAAACTACCACCTGAGCTTTTACGATGCATACCTACCTGCCTTTCATGAATTATGATTCTGATATCAACAACAACTGTCGGATCGGAGAAACTTGATGAATGATGACTCACTCAGACATCATCATCCTTATCCAAAATAACATAAAACTACAAGAATTTGGCAGGAAAAAATAAAAAAATCTTAATGTCAACTGCCAACCCGACACAATCTTCTTTCATTATCCAGAGGATTGGCTGATAGCGGAGAGTCGGGGTTATATCTGTGAAATACAACCTTGGATTGCAGCTTTTCTTTTTCTTTTTTTTTTCCAAGGGTACATTAAAGACATACAACACTGAACACCCTATATCGGTTTTTTGCGGTAAAAAAAAAAAAAAGCACAATTAACTAATTTTGTCCAATGCTCTACGATGTTGCAAATCGAATGCTCTAGGATGTTGCAGAATTTCCGTTATTTACAATATGATAAGACAAGGTTTACGTTTTACCTGGTCGTGTCTCTGATTCTACAGAATTTTTGAATATCGTCGCCCTCCAAATTCATTTATGATGCGGAAAATATATGGTATTGAAAGAGTTTTGTCCCATCAAAACTCACTCATGAATTTTACATCGGTTTTTATATACATTTAAAAAGATGATGTAATTATTATTGATGTAAAATTATACTCCAATTCAGTTCAGTTTTGTGTGTGTGGATGGAATATAGTTTTACGTTAAATCGATGTAAACCTCATCAATTCTAAAGTTTTACATTAATAATCTATGTAAAAATTAAATTGATTTTATCGATATAAAACTTTACACTCTTCGACCTATTACTATTTTCAAAAAAGCAACGGTCACTTTCTGGTTCAATGTAAAACTACACTGATTCCAAACACGGCCTTGATTAATAACACCTTATTGGTTATCACGTCTATGATTCTAGTTAACTGATCAGAAGTTATTCAGATATCTTTCTCGTATCATAGTCCGCCCCCTGATGTATTTGAAGACTAAGAACAAGATGAACCCAATTAAAACTTTATAATCGATCATTAAAATAAATCAAAGGGTTGTCATCCGCCTGCTACATCCACGTCCCGCCCTCCAGGGTGCTATTCATGCACCACAAATAAGAAAAGACAGTTTTTTAAACTACCCTTATTGTTTAACTAAATGACTAACTATATCCTAATGTTTAACTATTATCTTGCACTACCCCTATTATTTCTGACAATCGATATTGTTTAAGTGTTAATGGAAAAGATGAAATGTCAAATTTGTTTTTCACTATTCATCATGTTTTCAAAATAAAACTTAAATGATGAATAATTTCAGGGAAATAGAAATTAGATGCCTCCTCCATTTTTCGCCTTTGTCTCTGCCTCCGTCTCTATTTTCCATCTCAGAGCAGAACTGCCTCGATACCTCTGAGACGTCTTGGAGAAGCCACCAACACCATTAATCACACGACTCTTAATACGTGTATGTGGATATCAATCACTCATTGAATTTTTTTCTCAGGAGAGTAAAACATCCAAGCGAAGAACACAACCCAGAAATACCATTCATCCCGTTGGAGACTGCCTATTTTGGACAGAATTATTACAAGCTCTTGTGGACAAATGTGGGTTTTTCTCGGAATTAGAAATTGTGGTGGGTAAGTGTGGGTTTTCTTACTCAACATCTTCAATTAGAATTGAACCCAAAACAGGTCCTACAAAAACCCGAGCTCCTCAGGTGATGAACAAAGAGCGCTCTTAGGCTACCTATTAAGCAAACTTCATAGGAGTTAAGATGGTTAAGGGTTTGTTTGATTGCTGAGAAAGGAATGAGAAAAGAGAATATTCCCGAATTATTCTTTCTTTCTTGTGTTTGTTTACTAGTAAACAGTGTTTTGGGATGATAAATAAGAGGGACACAGGATCCCAAAATTGAGCGAGCGGGTTCGCACCAAAACAGTGCAACCCCGGTGAGAAAAGAAAACGCTAAGAAAATGCAAGCTGAGCAATCTAATACAAGGTGGGATGCAGTGTAAAATAGATTCCAATCGGACGAAGAAAAAAAGCATTCCCTCACGAAGGTGGTGCCTTTCGCCTTCAGGCGGTCGAGAAACATCAAAAGAGGAGGAAAAGGGGCGAAATCTGAGATCGGAACTCGAGAGTCCAAATTTCGAATAGAAGGAAGCGACAGGAAACGGAACAGAAGGGCGGTCGTCGTCGTTTTTGATCAATCGATATTCGAGTAACGAGATGGTGGTGATCTCACTGTACAGAGGGAACCTGCACAGGGTGCCCGACGTCCCTCGGCGATGGCTCATGCCAATCCCTCGCATTTCCCTCAAAGATTTCAGGATTCTCCTCCGCAAACGGGAGAAAGCTCTATCTCGCATCTCCAGCACCACCGCCCCCACTAGCTCAAATCCCAACCCTAACCCTGATTTCAAACAAGAGGAAGGCATTGGAGACAATGGTTGTTCCAAACAAAACGGGAGAAAGCTCTGTCTCGCTTCTGAGCCCCAATCCCAGCCAACCATCGCCAGGAATTCTGAAGATGCACCATCCCAGCATGGAACAGTTGAACACGCCAAAGATCATAATGAAGCAGACTGTGACCCTCGTGTTGAGCAATCCAGAGAACTCGGTGGCTCTATTAGCGTTGAAAAACCATTTCAGGGGATACCCGATGCCGACGACGACGACGAATCCCACGATCTCTACCTCACGACGATTAATTTCGTGTCTCAATGGTTGCTGGCTATCTCAGGACAGTTGAAATCTCTAGCAATTTCTAATTTCTGGATCCAATCTTGCTGGTGACAATCCGAAGTTCTGTCTCTGATTGCTGGCGACAATCAGCTCAAAAAAATTTTCTTGCAAAACAAACACTAGAAAGTGGATATTCTCACAAAAATTTTCTCAACAAACAAACACATTATAACTAACTAAGAAAATAAATTTTCCTTTTCTCATCCCATCCTTTCTCAATCCAATTTTCTCAGCAATCAAACAGACCCTAAGCGTAAAATCTCTTCTGATGAGAATCTTTGTTGCAGCTCATCTCCTTTGACAAATATAGAGTCAAGTGGTTCTGTCAGGTGGGATCCCCTCTTTGTCCTGGATCTTAGCCTTCACATTGTCAAATGTCTATGGTATCAAAACTCTTCACTCTCCAGTGTGATCATCTCCCCTGTCAAGGTCTTCATGAAAAATCTCCATCCCACCACGAAGACGGAGCACCAGATGCAATGTGGATTCCTTTTGTATGTTGTAGTCAGCCAAGGTGCGACCATCCTCCAGTTGCTTCCCAGCAAATATGAGCCTCTAGTGGTCTGGTAGGATCACTGGCGATGAATACAACAAGCACACACTCTCCATTGTTTTTAACTACCCGAGAAATGTTTCACACCGAAGAAGCGACAACACTGGTATTGTGGAATACCCTCCTAGTCTGGTGGAATGCCCAAAGAGCTATGACAGCACTCCTTTTGAATGTTATAGTCTGCAAGAGTCCGTCCATCCTCTCAAGCTGCTTTCCAGCTAAAATAAGCCTCTACCGGTCTAGTGGAATGCCCTCCTTGTTAATCGTGTCAAAGCTCTCAAGTAATGGTCTTTCCACTTTTCCACTAAGAGAGTCTTGACAAAAATTTGCATTCCTCCCCTCAAACGAAGAACTAGGTGGAGAATAAACTCCTTTTGGATGTTGTAATCGACCAATATCCTACCAGCCTCAAATTGCTTTCCAGCAAAGATCAAGCTCTGCTGGACAGGGGGATTCCCTCTTGTCTTGGATCTTTTCCTTAAACTAGATGATCTTACCATCAATGAGGAACTAGAAAATAATTTCTTTATTTTTCTAAAAATCAACCCTCAATTCAAGATGATTTTGAAAACCCCAGTTCCGAGTTTTGAGCCTAGACTCTCCCCTGCTTCGCCCATCATCCTCAATATTCCAAGTTTGCTCCCATCAAGACACTATATCATGACAGAGACAGGGCGCCAAGAAGAAAAAAAAAAATATACAAAGCTTTATGCATTCAACCACACACTTCTGATTTTGGACTCAACTAATTGATCAACATCGCCGACAATGGCACCACTTCATGTGGTGCTAGGAACCTTACCAGCATCTGAATGGATTTTAAAAAAAGGGTTTTTCGATGACAATTCTTCTAGGGACAGGATCATATTACCCGATTTATAAAAGGACGGAGGGTAATATTGGATTTTAAAAAAAATTATACCACATGGTGTCATGTGTATGAATTTCAACGGAACACTAAGGCTCAGTTTGGATAAAGTACAAATGCAAATATGTACAGTACAAATACATACAAAATAATACAAAATATAAGATTTTGCACTCATTCCCAATTCAACCTAAGGAACACTAGCGACAGGGGTAGAGCTAATCAATTGTCAAAAAATATGTAAGGATACTCTAAGACAACAGTTGAACAATAGAAGTAGAGCTAATCAGTTAGTTAAACCACAAGGATAGTTTAAGAATTTAAACCGGAAAAAAGAGTAATATTAGTGTTGGGTTGCCTTTCAAGTTTAAAGTAGAACCATGACCATAAGATATCCATTTATACTTCCAATTAATTGACACTCGATTAAAATTTCGCTATAATATTTTAACCAGGGGAAGCCTTGGTGTAATACCAAATTCGTTTCATACCAACAGATGCCAACCAACAAATTGGTAAGGTCTCCTGCTGGTCGTAGTGGAGACTTTAGATCGAATCCCGCCGCTACCTGGGTTGGGAGGGTTACAGGCAAGGTTCAAAGTATCGTTATGTATCAGCCCGTATCGGCCGATACATATCGTATTGGGAGCACCCCGATATGCCCCTACAGAGTACAAAAAGTGTCCTATGATTTATTTACATGGTATAAGCCCCAACTCTGGGGAATATGCATTAACAGAGCGTGTCATGCTCTTCCTGGGGGCTCTCCTAAATTCGAACTAAGCAATCTGCAAGGCTTCTTCACGTTTGATGTCAAATACCTTGATGAGGACATCCTCCACAACCTGGATGTGCCAATCAAACAAGAATTAGAACCAGTATCATAAATCACAAGGTAAAATCCAACCTTGAGGGGAAAATGACTGGTCGACGAGAATATACAGCAGAAGCACAATGAAATAAAGAGAAAAGAGGAAATCCAGTATCACAAATCAAAATGTTGGTCGGCAAAAATCATGCAAGGTTAAAACTAAGATGCCCCATGAACTAATTTTCATAATGATGAAAATCCATTAGAGCAAGCAACAGTGAAGCAGCAAAAAAGACAATTCTAGAAATACAGGTAAATGAAACACATTACTATCCTGAACTATTTCAGTTGGTGTTGCCATTAGGCAGTATCTATTTACCACAGGCTTAATACTGCTGGATCTCGTGAACATGAATAAAGGTGTTTTGCAAGCAACTAAACCCAAAAATCAACAGTTAATAACAAGAAGGGCATGTAAGAATTAGAGATCATACTATCCCAAGTCTCCTCACTGAAAAAAAAAAAAAAAGAAACAAAAAAAAGGTTAAAAGAAAAGATGGTTACATGGGAGAAGCAAAAATGATCAAAAGAAAGCTATGAATTCATTAAAAGGTCATGGTAATCCCAATCGAATAAATGTGATAGAACTTTGTAGAAAGATTTACCATGTTCAAGAGAATTACCTTATCTGGTGTAGAAGCACCTGAAGTAACACCTACTGTGATGGGACCCTCAGGTAGCCAGTTTTCTTTTTCAACCAGCTCACCATGCTGTTAAAGTAAGGTAATTAACACATATAACTTGGAGACAAAAAAGGATCTCCTATCAACTAACTTATAACTACTTTGAAATTAAAAAGAGGTTTGGATATTCCGCTTAAGAAACTCACATTCAACTTGTAACTTATTCTATTTCCTGGTCCTATTCTTTCCTCACTATCAACCCAATAAGAAGGAATTCCATGCTCCTCTGCAATCTCTTGTAGGTGTGAAGTATTGCTCGAGTTCCATCCACCAACTATTAACATAAGATCAACTTTTTCCTTGACCAGCTCATACATTGCATCTTGTCTCTCCTGTGGGTACGAAAAGATGCAACAGAGAAGAAGACATCAGAAAAAGAATTAGACAAGGTAAAATGGAATAATGAAATTCAAACAAAGTCATGGTACTTCTCAGCACCCAAATATTGGTTTCATCCATTTGGAACAGAACTTTGATTTCTGCTAGCAGAACTACACAAGTCTTGCCAATTATCAAAAAGAACAGAAGAGAATCTAAGTGACAATTTGGTTTGTCTACTAAGAACAGCAATTATCATCAGCTATCAATTTGCATCATACAACATATCATAGTCTTTTGGGGATACAAGAGGAAAGAAAATGCATTCCTTGTATATAAATTAGAGAATAAGAGAATTAATGTATTCAACATACAAGGGTAAAAATAAACAGAAACAAAATTTAATGACAATTATCAAACCAGAATAGCCAATTGATCATTGTTCAAATATCTAATGGAGTTTAAGATTAAAGCATTCCTAAGCAGTGCCCTTGTGCATTTTCTTTGTCCTCTATTTATAATATCTTTCTTTAATTTAATACTATATCAAGTTGACCTAGAGAGAAGATTTCAGTCCAGTGGTATGGACTCTGGGTCTATATCATGTCTATCACTTGGCTGTACTCATGTATATATTCCCATTGTCAATATCATCATCATTCACGCCTTATCTCAGCTATATGGGTTCAACTACATGAATCCTGTTTTACCAATCTGTTCCATTTAATGTCATATCTGTTAGTGGTGTTAGTGAAGGGGTATTTCAGTCTTTGTACTTGTTGAGAATGCTGATGTGTACTGTTATGTTAGTTCGAGTGCCTCTTACTTAAAGAAGGGCACTCAAGTCTTTTTCAATAAGTCAATAATATAATGATAGGTCTGGCCGAATCAAGGGATTAACTTTTTT